GGGGTCGAGCAGCGGGCTGGAGCGCGGCCTGCCCGCAGGAGGCAGGGACACGAGAGCGGGGGGCAGGCAGCAAGAGGGCTGGTGGTGTGAGGTGTGAGGGGGAGCCCTAGGGCTGACTGTGATGGGGGTGGGAGGGTGTTGGAAGAGCCATGCCCCCCCGGGGGGGTACAGACATCAGCACTGCCACGGACTGAGTCAAGCTGTCAGTCTGTCTTGCCCCATGTCCTGTGCCCTCCCTGTGGCAATGCAGCTGGCTCTGGGGTGGGTCGTGGGTAGAAAACACCCCACCCGAGCAAGCAGCAAATTCAGCCCGGTGATTCTCAGCCCCTGACCCGCTGCCAGCCACCGCCTGGGACACCTGGGGGTCACCTGGGGGTCACGTGGGACCTGTTGCCTGTGGGTCTGGGTCTCCTGCCTGGACACCTGCAGTGTGGGTTTGGGCTCCAGGACGGCGAAGGGAAAGTGGACAGGGATTTATTATTGACTTGCAATACAAGAATGCCTCCACGTGCCACATGAGCACCTGTCCCATAGACCCCACGGGCCACAGGTCAGGGACTGAGCCCCTCTGCTCGAGGGCACAGCGCCCTCTGGCTCAGCCCCGGACCTCCAAGCCCACCAGAAGCCTGTTGTGTCCCCGGGGTAAACCTGCCCCAGGGTAAGCAGCACCCAGGGGCTGCCCCACCTTCCTAAGGCCAACACTTCTACACACCTGCCAGTCATCGCTTCCCTTTGCCCTGGGCACTTACCGCAGGCCCTCTAGCCCTGACCCTGGAGCTCTACTGCTCACGGGCTGTTGTCAGGGGGGGAGAGAAGGGGGTGGGTGTGAATGATTCTGTCTCAGTCCCAGGATCAAGGGACGCAGGTTCAACAGCCCCAAGGACCAGCCCAGAGGACAAATGTGCAGAGAGGGCTGAAGAGCAGGAGGTGGGAAAGGGGGAAGGGTGGGCAAGGGTGCCACAGGCAAGATAATTACTTACAGGAGGTTGGAGCTGAGGAGCACTGCCGTGAGAAGGGCCAGGAATGGGCCTCCAAGCCATAGGGTGCCCAGCCTAGACCGCAGCCTGGGGGTGCACCCACTCCACCCACCACATCTGGACCATCGAAGGCCAGACCATGGCATGCTGGGATATACAGGCAGGGGAGGGTAGTGAGAGCGTTGGTGGGAGCCCCACACCCCACTCTCCGTGCCCAGGACACATCCTCAGACACAGGCCGTTTATTCCCCTTACGTACAAGAAGAACTGTCAGGGCAGGTGCAGAAGGCAAAGCAGCCCCTCCCTGACCCCCGGCCTGGGCAGAATAAATACCCCACGCTCTGACCAGGTAGCCCCAGGCCGAAGACACCCCCCCCAAACCCCAACCAGGAAACATGTTGGGGAAGGGGCTGAGCGCGAGCGGGGAAACCTTCATTCACCCTGAGGCCTCCCGGCAGCTGTGCTCACGCAGGGCTCCCTGGCTGGACACACAGAGACTTTAGGAGCAGATGTAGAAGCTATGGAGGAAGACCCCAGGGAGCAAAGGGAGAGGGTCCCCCATCAGTCCAGTTTCCTGGCTCCCAGCTTCATGGGCCCCCGTGCCGCCTTCTTCTCAGCCCGCTTGGCCTCCAGCTCCTTCTTCCGCTCCTCGCGCTTCTTCCGGGCCAGCTCGGCCTTGCTGAGCCCTGGGAGGGGAGGAAGGGGAGAGGCAGATGGGTTGACAGGGGGAGGGTCGGGAGTACGGAGTCCTCGGAGGTCTGCAGTGGCAGCTACTCACCGTGATCGGCATCCAGAGACTCCCAGGCGTCCTCAGTGCCCCAGTCCCCACCAGCGTCCGAGCCCCACGTGTCGGTGCTTTTCTGCAAGGGCAACGCAGGGTTGAGTTCACTCCATTCCCCTCCCCAGGCAGCGCAAAGTGCAGAGTCCCCCCCTGCTCTCATGCCTGCTGCCCTCCCAGAGCTGGAGAGAACCCAGGCATCTGGGCTCCCAGCGCCCCTGCTCTTATCCTCCCCGCCCACACTCCCCCACCAGAGCTGGAGACAGCTCAGGCCTCTGGGCTCCTCACCCCAAGCCCGGGTACAGGGGGTGCCCAGAAAGGGTGGGAGAGAGAAGGGAGCTGATCTGGCGGGAAGCCTCCCAGGCCTGGCCCTGCCTAGCTGTGCACAGCCAGGGGGGTCCAAGTCCCTCTGTGGGTCTGAGCTACCCCACAGCACTGCACGGGGAGCCTCAACCCACAGCTCCCACCCCGTTAAACCCCCTCCACCACTACCTCATTACCTGGCCATCAGCCGTCGGCTTCTGGGTTGAGGCAATAGAGAAGAAGGGGTCAGGTGTCTCAGTGGCGGTTGTGCTACCCCAGTCATACTCGCTGGCCAGCCGGGTCCCCGCAGGTGGGGCAGAGGGTGTGGGAGCAGACTTTGGGGTGCCAAAATCCCCCTCCACATCCCAGCCGTCTTCCCCCAGGGAGCTGGGAGCCTGGGGGCCCTTCTCCCGGCTCCAGGCTGCATCTGCTTCCCAGCCAGAGCTGGTCCAATCGGTGTCTGGCCTCCTGGACGAGCTGATGGCCTGGAAGGCGTAAGGGAAATGGTGCAAGGTCAAGGCCCCCAGCCACATCTGACAGGTCCCTGTTGCGGCTGGACCAGGGTGGGAGAGGCTAGATGATTTCTCTTGGGGCTCTGCAGACTTGGGGGCTGGGGGAACCCCCCTTTACCCTGGCCTGACTCAAACGGGGGGAGGGGGTCTCCCAGTTGAACTCTCCAACACCCAGATGCACCAGTCAGGCCCTGCTCCCCCTACCCCGCCAGGGCAGGCACGTCTGCCTGCTCCACCCCTTGGCTACAAAACCGGCCCAGGTTTCCCCAGGATAAGCTGGCTGTCTGCCCAGGCAGGGACTGTCCCAGCAGGGAGCTGCTGCCTTACCCGCCTGGCTCCAGAAGTTTTGGGCACCGTGGCTGCCTCCACCCAGCCAGGGGTATTCCAGGCATCAGGGCTGCTCTGGCCTCTGCTTTGTTCCGTCTCCTGCTACGAGGAAGAATGAAGAATGGTGTTGGCATCCACTGCTGTCCCAGGCCTGGTGTCTTACTCCCAGGCGGTGAGTGCTCAGTGCCCCCCGCCTGCCACTGACAGGAGCCTGGCCCCTCACCTCCAGGCTGCCCCAGTCTTCATCATCCCATCTGTCCACTGAGCTCTCCTCTTCCTCTCTGGGCTCTTCCCAGTGGCTGGGCGAGGCAGGCGACATCGCTGGGGCAGGGACACTCTCAGCTTCTGTAGGACAATGGGAGAGAAGTCAGCCTAGGCAGGGACCAGAGGAAGTCCCTAGAGTTCCTCTATTTATTTCCATTGTGAAGGCACAGCTGGGAGCCCTGACCCTTGACTGACCAGGTTTGGGGGGCTCTGGAACGGCACCCCCTGCGGGTGCCTCTGCCTGTTCCACTGGGGTCCCGGCATTGGTCCGGATAAGCTTAGAGGTGAGGGAGGAGACGCCTGTGACAGCCCAGCCAGCCCAGCTCACGGCGGCCCCAATCCCAGGGCTGGTAGAAGCTGCGTGCACGTCCTTCTCTGCAGAGGAAACCAGCGGAGAAAGGCGATGAGCCTGCCCTGAGCTGCAGAGGCCGGAGACCTGCCCCCACACCCTCTGCCCAGTGCCTGGAACCCTCACCGAGCTCTGCGAGCTGAGACGGGTCCTCGGAAACGGCCTCCAGCTTGATCATGAAGCTGCGAATGGCCTTGAATGTCTGCGTGGGGGGCGGGAGGTAGCGGGTTACCATGCACTGCTCCGAGAAGGCCAAGCCCTGGCTATGGCCAGGAGCTGCACAGACCCCCCGGCCCCATCCAGGATCTAGGGCTCAGCCCCAGCCCCCCAACCATCATGCTGGACAAGAGAGCACTAAGCACACAGGTGGCTCTAGCTCTGCCAGTCCCCACTCCCCTCCCTGAGCTGGAGAGAACCCAGGCATCTGGGCTCCCAGCCCCCTTTCTAGACATCTCAGAAGGCCAACGGTTGGAAACCAGGCAATAAGATGGGAACAAGACACCAGACCCAGGACCGGAGCAACCTGATCAATAGGCTGCCCTGTCTGGTGAGAAGGTCTGAATGTCTGGTGAGACCTGGCCGTGAGCCGTCACAGACGAGACGGAGAAATCAGGCTGGAAGAGACCTCCCAAGGTCCCCTCTGGTTTGGTCAGCCCTGTCCAAACCGTCCCATGCAGATACAATGTCTAACTTGCTGGAGGAACTACAGTCAACCCCATCACAACCACGAGACATAACACCCGAACCTGCCACGCTGAAACCTAGAGGTATTTGGGGAGGACTAGGAGGTGGCTACCATAACCACAAGGTATACTAGGGGCCTGCAAGCACTTGACCCTGAGCTAGGGGCTGTATTTGATGCTGGTGCCACGTTCAGTGGATCACCCTGGCTAGCGCCAGGTGTGAACAGAGCATGTTGTCTAGTGTTTGTGAGCCACAAACCCCTGAACAGGCTTCATCAGCAAGACACCGTCTCTTGATTACAGCTTGATTACAAGTGGTCTCTTGATTACAGCTAACAAAGTCATTAGGAGGAGTACAGTATCACCAATGGCATCCAGCTAGAGAGCTCACTGACTCTCCATAAGACCTGCCATGTCCTGGATCAGAGCCTAGGTCCATCTGGCTCAGTCCACCAGCGGCAGTGTGGAGCCTGGGAGGGAGACTGACTGCAGCTGAGCAGAGTTTTCCCCCCGTTCCTCTCCCACGTGCAGCCTCCAGCACTGAGGGTCCAGGATGATCTGCTGCAGAGGCCGTGCCCCTCACTGCCATGCTTCATAGCTATGGATGCTCCTTTCCTCCAAGGACGTTTCCAGTCCCTTGGGGAATTGGGCTGAACTCCCAGTTTTCCCCGCCATGTCTGGGGGCAACGAGCCCCAGGACTTAATTCCAGGCTGAGTAGAAAATAACTTCCTTGTGCTGGTTTTAACCTGACAGCCTGCTCGTCCCACTGTGACCCTTGTTCTTGTCTGATGAGAGACAGTCAATAATAAACCCCAAATTACTTTCTCTTCCCCAGTGAATGTTTTATAAATGTTTATTTTTCCCTCCCAAGCCTCTCTCTTCTACAGTGACCAGGCCTGGCCTCCTCAGTCTCTCCTCCCAGGGAAGACCCCCTCGCTTGCCCCAGACCACCAGTCAGCATTGCTGCCCTTCTCTGGTTCTTCCACAGCCTTTTGGATGTACTGGGACCAGTGCTGGACAGTGTTCCAGATGTGGATGCACCGGGGATGTAGAAAGGGGCACCGTAATCCTTTCTGCTGTGCTCACAGTTCCCCTCTTCACTGTCCCCAACCTGGTGTTTGCTTTGGTGATGGCGACAGAGCCCTGAGCCGATGTCTATAACCAGCTGCCCATGGTGGCTCCCAGGTCTTTCTGGAGACAGAATACTACAGGCAGCTTTCATGCCATTTGTGCCCAGCTCCATCACTGGATGCTGAGACACACTGATGTTCATCTGCCAATTTAGCTGTCCATTGGCTCAAGTGCAAAATCAGGGTTTGGGTTTCCTCTAAGCCTTCCTCAGCCTGGCCCCTCAATGCTGGAGGCTGCACATGGGAGAGGAACAGGGGGGGAAAACCCTGCCCAGACCCAGTCACTCTCCCTCCCAGCCTCCACTCCTCCAGACACTGAGGGACATGGGAGACTGGGCAAGACAGACCCAGGACATGGTCATTCTTATTCTCAGGGGCACTGGGTGCTGGCTGCAGCCAGGCTGGGGGTGGTGACTGGGCTGTGCCAATGCTCCTGCTGGGATTCAACCCTTGAGGGTCCTGGATAGAAGCTCTTACCCCTGTTTGGGCTCAGACCAATGCTGCATTTGGGGTCAGGAAGGGATTTCCCCCCTAGCCAGTTTGGTATGGACTGCAGGGGGGGGTTGCCTTCCTCTGTAGCAGGAGCATGGCCTCCATTACATCTCAAGCATCTATTAACACCCTTTGCACCAACAGGCTGTGGCCCCTCCCCTGCTTTCCCTGTGGTGGGGGGCAGGGGTGATGCCTGGAGTTATGCTGGGGTGACCGTGTAGTTGTGCTAAGGCTGGACGACGGGTTTGCCTGAGACGCTTTGGACAGGGCTGACCCTGTCTCAGGCAGGGCTTGGCCTCAATGTGACCCCCCCCACAGGTCCCTTCTAACCCCACTGCTCTAGGATTCTTCTGCTCCAGATGTGACTGGTACCATCCACCCCTAGGGCAGCCCAACACCCAGAAGCATTCCTCGCTGGGCATGCCAGGACCCACTCACCTGGTCCCGGACGGTCTTCTCGGGGTCAACGGTCAGGGTGCAGAGAACAGGCAGGATTTTGAAGGCGCAGTCAGACAGCGAGTAGAAGTTGTGCGTGGCGGCAAAGCCCAGGACACCCGCAGCCCGGGAAGGGGCGAACGGGTCCTTGGTGGCTCGGCTGAAGGCAGAGATCAAGATTCTCTGCCTGGTCTGGAAAGGAGGATGGGGGAGGAGGATGAGGTGGGGTCAGGTGGCAGCCAGGAGCCCTCCTGTGCCAGGCGCTGTATGTATGTGAGGGACTATCATCTCCCGGAGTCTGGGCACATCATTCTGGGGCCCCTGTGCTCCCTGCAGCCAGTTCCCAGGGGCTGAAATCCAGCCCTAAAGCCTGCGCTTGACATGTCCATGGGGTCAACCCTGACCCACGTAGCTCCCCCGGCTTGCACTCAGCAGGGCCAGGCACTGATTGGTTCCTAGAAGTCCTTGGCTTCAGCCAAAAGCTGGAGCTTTCCAGTGTCCTGAGGGAAGAGGGATGTGGTCTTCCTTGTTTTACACACACACCCACACCCACACACGGAGGCAGGCAGGCAGGGCAGCCGGAGCTGTTCCTACCCCCTGGCACCCCCCTGGTACTCACGGAGGCGCTGAGGTAGGGCCCGATCTTGCCCAGGCACACGGTGGTGTTGCAGCGGATGGGGCCCTGTTCATCACGGGCCTGCAGCCGGGCAAAGTGCTTCATCAGTTCCACGTTCAGGTTGCTCTCACTCAGCTTCGGTGCCAGCAGCAGCATTGACTGCAGGGAGGATACACAGGAGGGGTCTGGTCAATGGGGCTGGGGACTGGGGGCAGGTCCAGCTAGGGAATGATGCTGGAAGCAGGACAGGGCACCTGGGCAGCAATGCCAAGCCCCCCTAGTTTCCCTTGTGGGGCTGGCCGGTACCTACCTTGACTGTCTGCTCGCGGATGGCGGGGTTGGTGTCCAGGAAGCCATGCATCACATGGGGGAAGATCTGGGTGTTGACCACAGGCTCCGTCAAGTACTGGATGAAGTTCTCCATCTGCAAGGCCATGCACGGGCACGGGTGAGCTGCTGGAATCCAGGGTGGCTGCCAGGGTCAGCCAAGGAGGGACCCCACGGAGCAGCTGGGCTGGCTGGGACCCCAGAGCTCGCATCTAGCCCAGCCCCCTGCTTGAGGCAGGATCAGCCCTGTCCAAACTAGCCTGGACATGTCCTAACCTGTTCCAAGCACCCACAGGCCACCCAGAGCCCCCAACCAGGTGACACCAGAGGACAAGGGCTGCAGTGCCCAGCTGCTGCCAAGGGAACTTCAATACATCCAAGACAGAGGCATTGCCCCCACTGCAGAGGAAGGCAACCCCCCCAGGGCTGACTGGGGGGGGAGGAATTCCCTCCTACCCTCCAAGGCAGACACTGGGGTGACCGTGAGCAGGGGGTAACACCCTCTAGCCAGAAGCCTCCAGGTTGAACCCCAGCAGAAGCACTGGCACACCCTAGGCACAGCCCCCAGCCTGGCTGCAGATGACACCCAGCCCCGCTGAAGAAGGGGGAAGAAAACCCTGACACACGTAGCAACAGGAAGGGGGCAAGTTCCTTCCCAGCCCCACGTGGCAGCAGCAAATCCCAGATGCCTGAGAAACGCCAAACCCCTCCACTCTGCTACACAAGAGCTGCCCTGGACTGGGTCAGAGCATAGTCCATCTGGCCCAGTCTCCCATGTCCTCCAGCAGCTGAGAATGGAGGCTGGAAGGGAGAGTGACTGGGTCTGAGCAGGGTTTTTCCCCCCCGTTCCTCTCCCATTTGCAATCTCCAGCATTTACAGTACAAGACTTCCTGATGCAGAGGCTGTGCCCCGCACTGCCATGCTCCATAGCCACCGATGCCCCTTTCACCAAGGGAGGGACACGTTCTTGGAGGAATCTGGCTGAACTCCCAGCTTACCCCACTCTGGGGGCACTGAGTCCCACTCTTCAATTACAGACTGGATGAAAAAACTTCCTTGTATTCATTTACACTGATGGCCTACTGCTAACAGATGGCAGAGAAAAACTGAAGTTTTTTGGGGCTCTAAAACCAATTGTCGAACAGGAGGAAAAACTCCTGGGTGTTGTAGCTGGACGGCTGCATGAGACACACAACAACCATGAGTCAGGTCACGGTGACCACTGTGTCAGCAAAACGGAGCACCACGTATAAAAAGATTCTGGTTACAGCTATGGGTATGTAGACTAAGCACCAGGGATCCAGGTTTTCTGTTTCCCTTGGAAAAACGGAGAAAGCTGTAGATTTTACCTTTTACTGGAGGACAAATGTGGATTTCTCATTTTACTGGAGAAACCTGCAGATTTTGCAGTTTTGCACGAGCTCTCTGCAGGCTGGCAGAAGCGCAAGAAGGTGGTCAGGCAGGGGGACCATATGTATGTATATGCCTGGGCATGGGCGACTGGGGCCTCCCGAGTCTGGGGGGGGACCAGACTGCCAACAGGGGGGAAGTGGGAGGGGGTCCCCCAGAGGCAAAACCAGAAGTGTACTTCCAGTGGCACTTCCGGTTTCGCAGCTGGTGCTTCCAGGGGGTGCATGGCCAATCTCAGAGGGTGCAAACGCACCCACATGCATCCCCTACTCATCGCCAATGTGCCAGGGTGGGCAAAATATGGCCCACCAAGCATTTCATCCAGCCCACAGCACCCCACAACGAACTGCATCCTGTCCAGCCCTTCCGCTCATGAGGGTGGGAGTGAGGCATCCACATGTACATGCAGCCCCAAACACATCCTACTGTACCTTGCTCCCACCCCTGTGGGCAGAAGGGCGCAGCCTGGGCAGCATGCAGCTTCCGTGCGGGGCTTCTGCTGCCGCAGCCCCTGAGGACCTGCTCCACTTCCCTGCTCCAGGCAGCAGGTCGGGAAGCGGCGGGGGCTGAGCTGCAGCTGTGCAGGACCATGGAGCATGGGGCTGGTGGCAGCGTGGAGCCTGCACCCAGGGGGGCAGCGGTAGCATGGAGCTTGGGTGGGCAGCTTATATATAAAAGAAAGAGCTAAGGTTTTCACATTCCCGAGTTGAAATACTGCACCACTCAGATTTAAACATTAATTGTGGGCAACAGAGTGACCAGGGTTTTTCACCCTGGTCCTCTCTCACTTGCAGCCTCCAGCACTGAAGGACTGGAACATTAAACTTGGGCCAACAGATTTGGCATTCCCAAGTCACCTGGACTTAAAGAGCTCGGATTGAGACATTTATTCCTCCCCAAGGCAGACACAGCAGGAAAAGACGTAACCCTCAAATTCAAGAACTTTGTGCTATAGAAATGCATCCCTTCGGTGTGGGTGCCTGGACGCCTACTCGCAACTGTGTGTACAGCAGACAAACTGAGTGGTGTCAGGGAAAAAGCCAAAGCCAAAAAGCCCAGGAAGGTGAAGTAGACAGCAGCACTGCAAGGGTTGTTTCTGGTGTACAGGGAGCTTACAAGCCCGTTGGAGGATGCTTTAAATGCAAATCAGAAGCTGGAGGATGAGAAGAAGGAGCTGCAGGGAAAAGCAGAGACCTTGCAGGCTCAGGTCAATGAGGTACAAGGCGCTGCATTGAAGAGCGCTGTGGAAATCGCCAGGTTAGAAAACGAGCTTAGTCACAAGCGAATGAGCAGGGATCAGCTCCGTGAGGAGGTCAGTGGCTGGAGACAGAAGGCGCAGGACACCCAGGGAGCTCTCCAGGCTGTACTGAGTCCCGGGAGACCTCCAGCCTGGATCAGCCACGTGCTGCCAGAAGATGTGGGAGCTGGAGTTAAAACTAGGCATTTCTAAGGGCATTGCAATAGGGATTGGGGCAATGATGGTGGTAGGGAAAAAATTGGCATGTCTAAATAAAGAAACCACCATCCAATGGTTGGCACAGGCTCAAAGGCTGCCCGAGGGACAGAGTGGGTACCCCACAGGGGACCTAGCTCACATGATTAGAGTGCATGGTGCCAGATGACTTTATAGCGCTGCCTGAGGATGTGTAGTTAGGTTGGTGTATGGACCCTAGAGATGTGAGGAAGGCAGTGAGTGCTTCAGGTCTTCTTTCCCGAGGTGCACCCCGTGGTTCTGTTTCACAAAGAAAAGCAGAATCCAGGACAGCATCCAGACACTGACACTGCCTGGAAAAAAATGCTATACCAATTAACAGAACTGCCTTTAGGAAACCCTCCAGACTGAGACAGACCTGAGTTTAAGGACCTCCTTGTGACAAGACTAGCTCCATTCCTCAGAGTTTTTGCAGGATGACCACATGCCAGGCTATGAGGGAACTGGGAAGAATCCTAAGTGAAGGTTTGAGTTTCAAAGCCAGGCATTCCCCAGCTGGAGGGAGGAGAAGGCAAAATGGCAGCTGGCATTGATGCGGGGCCCCAGCAAAGGCCAAAAGGACAGACCTCGCTCTCGTGGGAAGAAGAAAGTCCAACTCATGGAGAGCCGAGCTTTGGCAGAGACTAATCAAGTACGAGGAGGAGGAGGATATTGATGTTCGGAGTTACTGCGGAGACTAGCTCTTCATGAAAGTCAGGCAAAAATCCCAGCACTCCCACCTACAAGAAAAGCAGGAAGCCTGGGCCAGTAAAAGTGCTATGTGCCACAGTCGCCTCTCTTTTTGGCACCCTTGGTTCATGATGAATGGGAGCGACCGACCATCAGCGTCTGATTTCCCAGCAAGGACCAGGCAACAAATGCTGGTAGACACAGGTGCCATGTGCTCTATTTTCTGTCTCCCACCCACTAAATACAATATCTTACCGACAGAACAAACTTCCTGGACCTTAAATGTCAGAGGCTGCAAGTGAGAGAGAAACAGAGGGAAAAACCCTGCTTCGACCCAGTTCACTCTCCCTTTCAGCCTCCACCCACTGCCACACACAGGAGACTGGACAAGTCGGACCTGGGGTCTGACCCAGTCAAGGGCAATTCTTGTGTACTATCTGGAAAAGCTAATGAAGGCACGTATCCAAGCCAAGGTTAGCAAAATGGACCTCAGCACCAGGAAATAAAAAAGCCAGTGCAAAGAGCCAAGCCAGCTTATCTCCAGCCCCATACAGCCTACTCATAGAGGGAGACAAACATGAATACCTACTGCCTGAAACAAAGCCAGAGAAGCATCCTCCATTTAGAAGGAACTTGACCCTCACCGAAGCAGAGGAAGGACCCTAGGTTGTTCCATTTGTAGATGAATCCAGCTGTTATAAAAATGGGTTTCCCCATACAGGATATGCCACAGTTAATATTAACACCTCTTATGTCGCGTTTAGATTACAGGCTGCGTATGGGATGGTTTGGACAGGGCTGATCCTGCCTCAGGCAGGGGGTTGGACTAGATACGACCTCTGGAGGTCCCTTCTAGCCCTGCTTCCCTATGACTACGACACAGAGGAAGCGGGAAAAGGGAAGTGTACCCTGCATTCAATGCAGACAGCTTCAAAGAAGAAAGCTTTAAAGCATTCAGAAATACCCCAATAGATGAACAGATGGCAATATTTTCTGACTCAGACTGGGTAATGAGAGCTGCTTTGGACCAGCCCCCAGCAGAACAAGAAAAAGGTACGAAGTCGGCTGATGAAAAAACGGTGGACACTGGAAAAGATGTTGGAAAGGATGGAAGACTTGGCAAGAGCCATGAGAACTGGCCTTAGCCACGACACAGGACGGAGAAGCCCCAGGGTGAGCAGTACCCGGAGGGGTACAGGTGCAGATGATAGCTTTGTTGCACAAACACAGACATTTAGGTGCAGACAAAGCCCCGGCCAGGCTGCAGGCAACTTGATGGGGGAGGAGGTGAAAGACTATACAGACCACTGTCTACCATATGCAGCAAAGAACCCCGATACCAAAGCAGCTCACAGACTCCTGGGATATAGAGAATTAGTGGTCCATGAAGGAAGCTACAGACTACATAGAACCCATGTCTCAGACAGCAAAGGGAAATAAGTACCATCTGGTAGTAGTGCATCGCTTCCCAAAACAAATCAAAGCCCTACCAACTTGTAACAGCACAACTGCCATCACCGCACAGATATTAGTGGCCAGGTGTACGGGGGGTGTCTCCTGGAAACCAATGCAGACCGAGGCCCTCACTTCATCAGAGAAATCACATGGCCAGTCTGTCAGGCTTCTGGGATAAAACGGATCATGCAGTGCAGGGCAAGTGGAAAGGAGAAACAGGACAATAAAAACTGCCTTGTGAATGGTGATCCATCAACCGGGGAAAGACTGGGTCTAAAAATGACCCTTCGTGTTAGTGGTGCTGAGAGGAAGCATAGCCGTGCATGGAATTACCCTGCATAAAGCCACGACAGCAGAAAAGATGCGGCTCCCAGAGCAATGGTGGCTAGGAGAGGAGCCCCTAGATAGCCTCCAAACTTGTGTCCTTCCAAAACTGGCTCCAATCAGTGGACACTATGCAGAGGCAAGTGGCTATAGCGCTGAAGGCTAACATCCAGAAAACAGCCCAGCAGTTAGGCCCCAGGACTGAGAAACTGGAGACCAGGTGATGTATTGTGGGGTGGGGTGGGGAGGCTAAAGAAAAAAGGTCGCACCCTCAGTCCCCTGTGGATGGGGCCTCTCAGAACTGAAAACAAAGGTATATCAGGTGGAAACACGTCAGGATCTGACACAGAACCCAAGCTGGTTTCACTCTTCCCAGCTACAAGTCTGGAAAGGAAAGGAATGAGGGGTGAAAGCCGCATTGCCAACTACATTTCAGGTGCTGTGCGACAGACCTGGAAGACCGGCCCAAGCAGCATTTCAGCGGATACTTGTGACGAAAGCTGCGGTTCCGATGGTTTGTAGGATGTGGATACAGCAGAAAGAATCACAGAAAATGAGGGTTGAAGGGACCTCAGGCCACATCTAGTCCAACCCCCTGCTCAAAGCAGGACCAGCCCCAACTACATCATCCCAGCCAAGGCTTTGCCTACCCGGGTGGAGAGTCCCCAACTGCTCTGGGTAACCTGTTCCAGTGCTTCACTACCCTCCTCATCAGAAGGTTTTTCATAATATCCAACCTCAACTTCCCTTGCTGCAGCTTGAGCCCATTGCTCCTTGTTCTGTCACCTGCCCCCACCGAGAACAGTCCAGCTCCATCCTCTTTGTGCTTGAAGAACAGAGTGGTCAAACCAAAGAAAGTACCGCACAAACCTAGTGGGACAAACCAATGCACTGGGACTTCAACCAAGGACGCATTTACATTACTGCGCACCCCTGATCATTGTATTATTGAGTCCCATCATTATCTCTGCTGTACTGTAGCTACCTTGGTCTGTGAAACAATGGAAATGACACAAGAAAGAACAACATGTTTTGTTGTTGTGGAGAAATTAGAGAAATAGTAACACAGCTTTACAAAGATCCGTTTTCCTTTTCCTCATCTTTTCTTTGTCTGTTACCCTGCTCAGCTGCATCAGATGCGATACACCATATTAAAATCCCAGTCAGTGCTACGGCAGAAGCTGGGGCAAGGTTGGGTGAGGACAGTGAGAACTCTATCAAGAATTCCCACTTGCTCCACGAGTGGCTACAACCCACCAGGTGTCGAGTCAGATAGGTCTCAACCCTCTACCACACCCAAGCCTAGAAATGAAGGTGATGGCTTCTCTAGGAGGGCCAGCAAAGAGGGGGTGGCTGACAGATGGCATGGCAAAAACTGAAAGTTTTTGGCTCTGTAGCCTGTTCTACAACAGAAGGGGAAAATGCTAGGTATCCCCTGTAGGTGACCCGAATATGACCCAAGTATACCCTGTAGGTGACCTAAGTATCCTGAGTATCCCCTATACGTAACCCGAGTATCCTTTGCATGACCTGAGTATCACCTATAGATGACTGGAGTATCGCCTGAGTATCTCTTATAGGTGACCTGAATATCCCCTGTATGACCCGAGTAGCCCCTGTATGACCTGAGTATTGCCCGAGTATCCCCTAATAGGTGACCTGAATATTCCCTGTATGACCTGAGTATCACCCAATGACCTGAGTATCCCCTGTAGATAACCTGAGTAAACAAGGGACTACAAGAGCATGGAACTGCCTGAGAAAGCACACCGTAAGCAGTCGCATATATAACATCAAGGGTGACAAGAACCAGGAAAAACAGGAAAAACCTCTAGAATGGCAGAAAAACATCTGGAGAGGGGCACAAGCAGAAGACCAAGGCAACCGAGAGAAAGGAGGGGTGTGGACCACCCATAAAAGAGCAAGCAAACAGGAGAACTGTGGACCTCCACCCCCTTGCCTGCCAAAGATGGCAGACCCGAGACTCCTGGATGCCCAGCCAGCTGCAGGGAGATGCTCTGCCCTTGGGATGGCGCAAGACTTAGGACCAGTTTCTACTTTTTCCTTGTTTTAAGCTGAATTGTAACTACCTGGGCTCAGTGTTTCTGTTCTCTGGCCTGGTCCAAGCCCACTTCCCTGACTTCAGGGTTGCCCAGATTTAAAGGTTAAATCTAGGTAATGTCACTGCTCTCTGCCCCTGACTCCACGCTCCTCCCAGAGCTGGAGAGAACCCAGGTGTCTGGGCTCCCAGCTCCAACCTGCCCAGGTTTATGCACTGGCACTCCTGGCATCCCCCACCACCGACCTGTTGCAGAAGCCGGATCCTCATGGCACGGTCAGGGGATGAGAACATCTTGACGATGATGGGGATGATCTTCTGCTGGTACTCCTCAGCTCCCAGGAGTTTCCCCACCTGTGGCCCAGGGGACAGGACAGTGCTGGGGCAGGGGCATAGAGTAGGGAGACCCAGTGGCCTGCCCCAAGCCAGGACTCCTTGGTTCCATGCCCGGCTCAGGGAGAGAGCAGGGTAAGCTGGGAGCCCAAGCACCTGGGTTCCCTCCTGCCTCTAGGAGGAGAGTGGGGGCTGGGGGGTGAAAGCAGGAAGGGCTGGGAGGCTGGACACCTGGGTTCTCTCCAGTTCTGGGAGGGGAGTGGAAGCTGGGAATTGACAGCAAGGAGAACTGGGAGCCTGGATACCTGGGTTCCCTCCTTGAAGCCTGCAGCCTTCCCTCCGCACTGCTCCCCCTGCTCTTGGGCATCGCAGGGGCACCCGCATCCCAGAGCCTGCAGCATTCACCCAGCTGGCCTGGGGGAGGCAAGACCCCCAGCCCCTTTCCTCCTCAAGACCACGTGCTGGCAGGCATATAGGTATTAGTGTCCAGGTTCCTCTACAGCCTTGGTTTCTCTGGCACAGAGGATGTCAGGGCCCTGCACCCTGGGCAGGGGCTCACCTTGAAGAGTGGGGTGAGCACAACAGCACCAGCACTCCCAAACTCCACAGCTGTCAGCAGCTGGGGCAGAATCTTGTGACGGCAGAAATCTGCCGGGAAGGTGTCAAGGTGGTCGCTCAAATCCTGAAAGAACATCTGACGCTCCGTGGGCTCTTTGATCTGTTGATGGGGAGGACGAACAGGGTCAGGGCGCTGTATAGACCCCTCAGGCTGAGACCGGGGGGGCACCAGGTGCTGTACAGAACCACCAGGCTGAGCTGGGCCACACCAGGCATTGAACAGACTCCCAGGCTAAGCCTGGGGCCATGCCAGGTACTGTACAGACCCCCTGGGTCAGATTAGAGACAGCCCTGTATTGAGGGGAAAGCCCCCAGCCCAGGTCCAGATTGGGGCCCCCAACCCACGACACCGTTCTGAAAAGCTTGCAGCAGCTCTGCCCCCCAGCACTTACCTGGATCTCCTCCAGAAAAAGGTTGGTCTCCACAAAGCTGTTGCTCATGAAGCCACCAGGGCTGCGGCAGTTCTGTAGAAACCGGGCAGGGTTGGGCCGCACCTTAGGGTTGGCGCCCACCAGCTCACAGTAATGCGGCACCAAGGACTTCGGGATCTGGAAGGAGGAGAGCAGAGGGTGGCACTCAAGAGTGGGCGGAAGGGGCCCCTCGTGGAGACTTCACTACAGGGAAGTGCTGGCACCCCCAGCTTCAACACTGCCCCCACTCCCCCTTCCCGCTGCTCCCCAAGCTGGAGAGAACCCAGGCGTCCAGGCTCCCTGCCCACCCTACTCTAACCCCCCAGCCCCATTCCCCTCCCAGAGCTGGAAACAACCCAGGTGTTTGGGCTCCCAGTCCCCCTGCTCTCATCCCCCATGCTCCAGGCTGGAGGCCCCGGGTCCACGGCACCTCATTACCTTGCCCAGTGAGCGCAGGCAGCTTGGGCGAGAGAGGGGCCCATTGAACACCTCCCAGATGAGGCAGCCGAGACGCCACATGTCAGCTGACCTGCAGGAGGCAAAGGCCCACATCAGCACCCTCCCATATAGCTCACACACCAGGCCCTGTACAGACTCCCCCAGACTGGGATCAGGAGACGCCAGGCCAGCACTGGGAGCTGCTAAAAGTTGTATAGAACTGCCAGGCTGGGATTGAGGGCACCAGGTGCTGGACAGACCCCCCCAGGCCGGGATAAGGGGGCACTAGGTGCTGTCCAGACCCTCCAGGCCAGGATATGTGCAACATATTTAACAGCAATCTGGATGTGGGTATAGAATGCACACTATCCACATTTGCTGACAACACCAAGTTGTGGGGCGAGGTGGGCACACTGGAGGGGAGGGACAGAATACAGCCAGATCTGGACAGGTTACAGAGGTGGGCGGATGAGAATAGGATGGAGTTCAATGCAGACAAGTGCAAGGTGATCTAGGGAGAAGGAACCAGCAGCACACCTATAGCCTGGGAAACACCCTTCTTGTCAACACAGTAGCAGAAAGGGATCTTAGAGTCATTGTTGACTCCAGGATGAACATGGGCCGCCAATTCAAGGAAGCAGTCAGGAAGGCTAACCGCACCTTGTCGTGCATCCACAGATGCATCACGAGCAGGTCCAAGGAGGTGATCCTTCCCCTCTCTGTGACACTGGTCAGGCCACAGTTGGAGTACTGTGTCCAGTTCTGGGCGCCGCACTTCAAGAGGGATGTGGCCAGCATTGAGAGGGTCCAGAGGAGGGCCACTCGCATGGTTAAGGGTCAGCAGAGCAGGCTCTACGAGGAGAGGCTACGGGAACTGAACCTGTTCAGCCTCCACAAGAGAAGGCTGAGAGGGGACCTGGTGGCCATCTACAAACTCACCAGGGGGAACCAGCGAGAACTGGGGGGAGGCTCTGTTCCCCCGGGCACCACCCCGGGTTACTAGGAATAACGGCCACAAATTGTCAGAGGGAAGGTTCAGGCTGGACATCAGGAGACATTACTTTACAGTTAGGGCTGCCAGGCTCTCAAATGGGCTCCCAAGTGAGGTGGTGCTCTCTCCTACCTTAGGGGTCTTCAAGAGGAGGCTGGACAGATATTTGGCTGGGGTGATTTGACCGCGGCACCCATTCCTGCCCAGGGCAGGGGGTCGGATCGATTGATCTGTTTAGGTCCCTTCCGACCCTAAGCATTATGAAACTATGAAACTATGATTGGGGCCCTGATGTGCGAACGCTGCCCAGCCCCAGCCCCACTCACCACTTCTCCCCAGTGCCCTTAGTGCTGTCGGCACTCTCGGGGGGGTCATAGCGCTCCAGGTCGGGGCTGGTCCGGTGGGGAGGGGGCCCCTCGCCCTGGGCTGAGTGCATGTAGTCCAGGCCCCCCAGCTTCCACTCGCCCGCACGGTCCACGAAGACGGCCCCCATGCACACATTGCCATGGATCAGGCTGCAGTCATTCACCAGGAAGCTCAGCGCCTTCTGCCAGGAGGGAGACGGTGGTGGGTCAGCCAGGAGCTCCCACAGTTCCCAGGGGAGATGGAGAGGGTGGGAGGAAGCCCCAGATGCCTGGGTTCTCTCTCTCCGCTCCAGGAGGGGAGTGGGGCCAGCACAGGGTGAGAGGGAATGATGGGGAAACCAATGGGTCCTTTTTCCAGCCCTGGGAATGGAAGGGGCTGGAACCAGGACTCCTGGTCTCTCCCCACTCAGGGAGGGGAGTGTGGGGTCCAGCAAAGGGGTGGGGGGGAAGGCTGGATGCCTGGGGTTCTGTCCTTAATTCTCAGAAAGGAGTGGGGTTTAGTGGGTGAGAGCAGAGAGGCTGGGAGACCGGACACCTGGGACCTCTCCAGCTCTGGGAGAGGAGCGGGAACTGGGGGGCGAGAGCAGGGAGGGCTGGGACCCCAGACGCCTGGGTTCTCTTACCACAATCTGATGCAGCCCCCAGGAGATCTCCAGCTCACTGATGCCTCCGGCCTCTGCTCTGGCTTGAAGGTATATGTTCAGGGGCGTCACAGGCTCCGTCACCACGTGCAGGCATTTCTCTGTCTGCCCACAGGGCCCCACAGGACGTGAGACAGAGGCAGGCGGCTCCACAGACGCACCCCGCACCGGGCTCTGTACACCCCACCCAGCCTGCAGGGATGGAGACTAGGGCTTCCCATGTGCTAGGGGCCACAGAGACCACCCCCCATGCCGAGACTGGGGTCGCTGGAATACCCCACCCTGAGATCAGGGCCCCTACACAGCACCAGAAGGGGCACAGACCCCTGCAGACGGTTCCAAACCCCCACCACGGCGGAGAGCCCAAACATGCTATGATCCGAGCTCACGGACCCCAGGGGAGTCCAGCCCCGGCCCTGACCCGATACCTCCAAGCCGTCGATGTAGGACAGGATGTTGGGATGCCGGAGGGTCTTGAGCCGCTTGAACGCTGACTTGGCCGCTTGTGTCTGCTCATCCGCGTTGGGTTTTACCTCGTAGACAAACACCGACACTGGGTCCCCTGTGGCCTGCAGAAGACACAAGCCCAGCGTGGCGTGTCTTGCTCAGCTCCTCCAAGATTTGGGGGGAGTGATGTAAAATGGGGAAACCAAGGCATAGAGCAGAGCTGTGGCCTAGCCAGGGAGTAGGGGGCTGATCCCTGGGCTCTCCAGGCCCGGCTAGGACCATCTTACCTCCCCCGGCAGCCGGGAGGAGGGGGGCAGTCACTGTGTAATGGGGGCTGCAGTTGCAGCTGCGAGCACTTCTGGGGAGGAACAGCAAGGTGCCACTTTGCAGTCCATTCCCCACCCCAAGGCAGGCTCTTAGTGGTCCCAAGAGGCCCCCCACCTAATTGATGGGGTCCAGAAAGCCATCCCTAGGGGGGTAGGGGTGTGTACAAGCTGCCCTGCGGCGTGGTCCAGCAAGGCCCCTGTTCTACCCCCGGGCAGAGGAGAGGTCCTGGACTCCACCTCACCTTCCTGGGGAGCGGGGTCTGGAAGCCTCTGGGGGCCACTGCACCGCACGGGCGGAGCTGGGTGACTCCCCTGCCACGTGCACAGGATCCCCTCGCCAGCCCTGAATTACCCCCAACCCCAAATCCACACGCCCCCATTGCCCCAGAGAGCCTGGCAGTCGCGCGGGTGGGGCGGGGGGCAGCGTCTATGGTGGGGGGGTAGAAGCCCCTGTTAACTGCAACAAACAGGGAGGGGCTTCGGCTTCAGAGCAGGGGCAGGGACCTCCTGGGCTCTCAGCCATGGGCCTGCAGACCCCCACGCTGGGGGGTGCCCCCTGCCCTGGAGGGGTTGCAATGTGTGGGGGGGTTGTAACGAGGCCTTGCAAACCTGACCCCCCTTTGGGGTGTGCAATAAAGGGGAGAATGATTTGCAAAGCCCCCCCACCCCACATTCCCATGAGCCCTTGCCCACCTGCCCCACCTGGGCACGCAAGAGAGGGGGATGTTTCAACCCCCCCCCGGGTTCCCGTAGGCCCTTGCCTATCTGCTCCCCCTGGGGAGGGGGGCGTTTGCAAAGCCCGCCCTCCCAGGTCCCATGGGCCCTTGCCAACCTGCCCCCCAGGGTGTGCAATAAAGGGGGGGTGTTTGCAAAGCCCCCCTAATGCCAGGGGCCCTTGCCAACCTGCCCCCGCCTCCAGGACATGCAATGGGCGGGCGGGGGGG